AACCGACTTGATAATGGCAACCACACGAGGCCTTAGTTCGATTTATTTTATGAAACTTAATATTAGACTGCAGTTTTTCAAGTAAAGTTCGAGGCATTCCAGACTTTTTAGGGCATAAACGGTAAGTTAAGGGCTAAAAATCTTAAAAAGTAGGAAATATAATGTATGAAAATTTGTATAAGGACTTGTTAGTGAAACAAAATTAAGGATTAGGATCTAAATGTAATTAATTACCTTTTAAAGCTTCAACTTGACCATTCGTAAAATTCCTCGTTCGGGTGTCAAATTCTTCTTCTCCCCCCTTCGAATGATCCAATGCTTCAAAACTTTGCTCGACAAATGCAATTCATGGCCGCAGCTGAAGCAAATCCATGGCCTCCTCACAACTTCAGGCCTGTCGAGAAACGACCCATTCGCCTGGAAAATCATCTCCTTCGCCGCAACTTCTGCTTCCGCCGACATCGATTACGCCCACCGCCACTTCCGTCGCCTCCCCAGCCCAACGCTGTTCCACTACAACGCCGTCGTTAGGGGCTTTTCGAACAGCAAAAACCCAATTAAATGCGTACACGTGTTTGCGCAGATGTTGATGAACGGTGTCGTACCGGACTATCTCACGTACCCTTTTGTTGTGAAGGCTTCGGCCCGAATTTCGGACCCGAAACTTGGAGCGTGTGTTCACGGGCAGGTGTTGAGAAATGGGTTTGCTTCCGACGTTTTCATTTCTAATTCTTTGGTCCATATGTACGGCTCCACCGGTGAAGTGGGATGCGCGAGGAAGGTGTTCGACGAAATGGCGATGAGGAATTTGGTTTCTTGGAATTCGATGCTGGACGGGTACGCCAAATGCGGTGACGTGGTTTTGATGAGGGAAGTGTTCGACGTAATGCCGGAGAGAGATGTCGTCTCGTGGAGCGCGTTGGTTGATGGTTACGTCAAGGACGGGAACCACGCCGAGGCATTGGAGGTTTTCGCGAAAATGAAAGCCGTGGGTCCCATGGCGAACGAAGTAACCATGGTTAGTGCTCTATGTGCGTGTGCCCACTTGGGTGCACTCGATCAAGGGAGCTCAATTCACCGATACATAGTCGAAAAGGGATTGCCGTTAACCCTAATCTTGAGAACTTCCCTTGTAGATATGTACGCAAAATGCGGTGCAATTAACGAGGCCTTGCTCGTTTTCCGCGAGGCATCAATGAGAAAAACAGACGTGCTCATGTGGAACGCTATGGTTGGTGGCCTCGCCACCCATGGATTTACCTCTAAAGCACTAGAAG